GTAGATTTACCACTTTGGCTTATTGCATAGGCGCAGTCAGGTATGTTATATTGTCTATTTTATTGTTAATTAATATTTTTTTTGATTTTATAGGTTAGGACCGATTCCGCCCTTTCGGACGAATGTGGGCGCGGCACTTCGGATGGACCCTTCGGCTCGTCACGGCGATAACTTAATAAAGGATATATTACAACTAAAGAAATATAATAACCATAACTAGCGGCGACAAAGTCACCGCACACCAACCTAATCTAGTTGTAATATAAAATTTATAATAAATTTATTTGCTTAATTCGTACTTAAATATATATTATAAAATCAATGCTATTAATAAAAATTATATTATAAATATTTAAATTTAACATTTTAATTATACTTAATTTTAACGTTGTAAAAATGCAGGTATTACCGATTGCAGCAAAATGCCAATACCTATCAAACATAGGGTCCGTTGAATCCTGTTTAACAAATATAGAACAATTACTATTAAAGTATTTTACAAATGCTTAACTAGTATTTTGTTATATATCGTGATGTAAGTAACTGGTGCAACGTCTTTTTATGTTAGCGTTAATGGTATTTTTTTTTATTTTTACATTAATAATTTTCATATTTATAAAATACCATTTTAATTTATATTTATTTGTTTAAATGAAATAGATAAAGTTGATCAGAATAAACATGGAGACCATCTGTTGCATTGTTTGAAGATTTCATTTTCCACTTGAATTATCTAAAGATTCATTGACTGCACTTCTGACATTAAAGAAAGCATCAAGATATTTTTTAATATTTTTCTACAGCTTTGACGTAATTACTCTTTATCTAGATTTTTTCACGAGTATTTTCCTTATTAAGGGATAAATACATGGATGTATTGGATTGTATATATTTCTTCCATTTACTGGTCCTTAACTTTCAATCAACTTGGAATTTCCGATCGATAAATGACGAACGAATTAAAATATTGTAATATTATTACCGTAAATGAAAAAATATTCTTTTACAAACAAATTTCAACATATTTTACACGTGACGGTAATCATAATGTTGTGCGACAAAATAAAATATATTTATTCTTTTTATACTGAATAAATATTAGATTCTTTACCAAAGAAATAATAAAAATATAAATATAAATAAAAATAAAAATAACATCCACAAACTGTTTCACCATTTGATGCCTATCCTAAACCACTAAAAAAAAATAAATAATACTGTAAAACGTAAGTACTTGCGTCATTATCATCAAGAATCAAGAAGTACATTCGCAGTAATTTGTGACTTTGGCCACGTTGAGTTGAGCTTTCGATTCGTTGATTCGTTGTATCCTATTTACCATTTAAACTTCCAAGGGTGTGGAAACAGGGAAGAACGTTCACAGAAAGAACAAGAACACTCTCAGAAGTAAATGAATTACGCCATGTATTACAAGTTTCCATGATATTTACGAAGGAAGATTCCTATAACCAATTCTTAATACAGAATCAATAGACCATCATTCAGAAACTCCCTTCAAGGTTTCTTCATTCCGCCAGCCTGAAGGGTGCCCCACTCAACTGTGGCCACGAAGAGCTTTCGATTCCCAGATTATTTTTATAATTAGTGGCAGTGCAACTTCGGATACACGACTCAGTAAGACTACTTACCTAGCATTAAACTTGGCAATGGCATCTTCAATTGCTTTTTCTACGGTTGATTAACAATATTATTTTTCTATTGTTATATATATCTAGTTTTTAGTTTAGTGATTTATTGATTTGTTGTTACAAGATTATTACTTATCGTTATTATTATTTTCAAAATTTGTTATTAACCTTGTCTACAGTTCGTGTAAAAAAAAAGAAAGAAAATAAGGTAGTGAAGAAAACAAATATTAAAAAAATAAAAATATTTTTTTTTGAGAAGAAACAAAAATCAAAATAGGAACGCCATATATGTATCTCTTAGTAATTTATTTTTAGAAATCATGAGTTAAAGGTCAGTAACGTGATTATTTAATTGCAGGACTAAATTAGCAATGCAATAAATTAAGTTGGTTAATTTTATGTTTCTTATTCCTTGCGCAAAGCAGATAAAATTCTAAACTAGTGAATTCAGAGCAATGAAATTTAGTTTGACATAAAAAACACGACGTGGCAATTCTTATTTTCCGGGCTGGGCTTCAAAATTAAACTTATGCAGCCTTTATACAAAAGTATAAATGAAGTGAGTAAAGACGGAAATGGTTAGAATAACGTCATACATAAAGGAAAGTGTTAAAATAATGAAAGTAACGTTTGACTTACACCCTTTCGTAGAGGTGGGTGTTCAACAAAACGGAAATTTATTATTAAGTAGCCACGATTCTAAACATGTATCTATATATTATATCTACAACGATCAGAGCAAACAAAACGATTAGAATGTACTAGTAAGAAAACCTTCCGTTTTTTTGCGCAGGATTGGCACAACAGATTTAACCTACTCGATATTGTGACTTTATACGTGAAAAAAAAATTATAATCATGGTTGAATTTGTATGTCCCAACAAGATGATGTTCGATATATTTTTATATTTTCTTTCTCATTCAGCATATGGAAAAATTTTATATGTTCGAAAATCATAAACAAAATAAGCATTTGGTTTGTAGATAATCAATTTTGGAATCGGGGATATTTCATGTCCAAATTATTTGTAAACAACAGATTAAAAATTCGAAGTTTCAATTGAAGCATTTAAGTTGAACTTTTGAACGCTGAAGCAAAAGATAGTCAAGCAAAAGAAATCCATGCTCATTTACATGTTCATATAAAGTCATATCATTCGAAACTGCTAGATAAGGATATTAAGTGGTACTTAACCTGTCCTTACGATTTAAAAGATTATTAACTCTAGAGAAGTTTAATCACTATCTATAATAAGTAACCCCATCAAAAAAAAAATATATATCATAAAAATTTTATAATTAATTTGTAAAAAGCAAAAATGATATTTAAAATTGGCAATTTTTATGGGACCAATTTTAAATTTTAATTCTAGGGTTTATTATTTATTTTCATTAAGTAGCTCATTAAACATTATAATAGACAAGTTTCATAATAAATTTGTAAAAATAATTCTCTTGGGATTTTAGGACCGCTTAACATCCCTACTGCTGAATTTATGGAAAATCAGTGTCTCTACAAAATTTTATAGAATTGTTGGAAACTCGACGTTTGTTAACGTTAAGCTTAGGAATGACTCAATTTTGGAAGATGTGAATTGGATCAAACTTAAAATTAATAGTATGGAGTTAGATGCGATATGGGATTTAATCAAAGAATCAAAAAGAAATAATAATTAGATGATTTAAAGCAAATTTTTGTACATTACTGCAGTATGAATACTATATATATAATTACAATGAAACTTCCCATAAATTTCAATTTTGATAAATCAATTTTTGTTTTTTAGTTAATTATTTTATTTCAAAATTTTTATTATTGAGTTATTTAATTATTTTTTAATTTAAAAAAATTTTTTTGATTGAATAAATTCAAATTCAGTTTTTTTCTTTATTTTAAAACAGAAAAATTAAAATTAAAATAAAAAAAATTAAAATAACTAAAAAAAATAAAAAAAATAAAAAAAGATCACAAAAAATTAAAATTAAAATAAAAACTTTTTATTTTAGTTCTTTAAAGATTTTTAAAAGATTTTTTGCTTCTCATACTTTCTTTTTTTTTATTAGTAAATTTTTTATTTTTTAAATGTTCTTTTTTAAGTTTTTAGAGATTTCTTTAAAGAATTTTTTATATTACTAATTTTTTTTTTTTAAAGTAGATCTTTCATTCTTTTAAATAAATAAGACTTCTTTTAGTATTTTTTCATTTTAAGAAGCAAGCATAAACCTGTTAAGTGGATAATAATTTTCTATATTTATATAAAAATGTATTTTAGATGAAGTAAAATTTTAGTAAATTTCTTACATCAAAATAATTTATCATATATTATTTAAATTATAATTCATTAAAGTCTTTAAAATAAAAGTTAAAAAGTTATAATTATGAATGATTATAATTTTTTATTTTTTATTTTAAAGTGCGGTAGTTTCGCAATATCTTTATTATAAGAGTAAGAAAATAAAAATTTAAATACAGATCAAAAAAAATTACAAAAATCTTGTAGAGAACTAATCTAAGACTAAAACTATAGAAGATCGACCCTGCACTCCCCCAAAATCAATTTCTAACCTAAGTTAAAAAAATTACTTTTTGAGTAAGAATATATAAGAAAGCAAAGAGGGTGAGACTACTACTGTCCCAAAAATTTGACCAATAGGATCCCATCTGTATCATCAAAGATATAGGAAGAGAACTAAAAGAATGGATAGAAGAGTTAGAAGATAAATCATAACCTGATGTAACAAAATTGGCAGTCTTTGAATCAAGGGTAATGTTAGAAGATTTTTCAAAATCATGAATAATTTGACAACAATCGTGCCAAACATTTTGTGTGAGTTCAGAAATTTTGATGTATGAAGAAAGAGAAAGCAGCTAAAGCTAAACATTGTGATGAAAGTTTTTTTAGGAAGAATTAAAGAGAGGTACTGGAACTATGCCTTTGATAAGAGCAAAAAATTCGGAAGTATTGTACGTATTAAGCAGCCAACAGTTCAACTGATCAATTTTATAATTATGTGCAAAGGTGATATTTTCAAATAATTTTTAGATTGTTGAATTATCTTTTTCATTTCATAGTTAACAGTGGGACACATCCATATGTGATAGAAGTTTTTATCAGCGGCATCACATCTTAGACACAAGAGCGAGAAAACATAAATTGATGGATGACGTAATTTGAGAATCTCAAAAGTGGGTAACATTTCAAGAAGACGTTGATATTTTATTCTTCTAACAAAAGAGGCGGAATAGGATGTTGATTGTGATGCTGTATTGTCATTGAGTATGAAGGAGGTGGCGAACTAGTTAATTTGATAAAGCTGTAAGTGTTTTGCAAGGACAGAGAGTTGAAGTAACTGTGAGAGAGAACGTTCACAGAACAGTTCTTTGCAAAATTGTCTGATAGGTATTAAGACTGGGGCATTGTTATGTGTGAAATAGCATTGAGATGCATTATTCGTATAAAGGTGAAGGGCTGTAGTGTTCAAACATGATTTGCTAAAGCATCAACATTGTTATTGAAGATATTATCCATATGAGCTTTGACTTTGATCATTTTAACTGTGAGGTTGTGAGTGACCATAATTTCAAAAAAACAAGACAAATGCACATAATTATTAATTTTGAGAGCAGAGCGAACAGTAGAAGCTTTTGTAAGAAGGAATCTGTATTTGTTGAATTGAAAGATGATAACTGTTAAATCAGTATAAAAAGTAACATTACAGGAGGAGGAGCTGTAAGTAAAGCAGTAAAAATAGCTGCAAATTCAGGTAATGAAGAGGAAGGAAAAGAAGATGCAAAGGCAGAGGAAAAGAAAACCATTGGTAAACTTTGGTGAATTTAAAGCCAGGCAATATTCATTCTTATCGAGGGAAAACCTAAGTCTTGCAAGGATCTATCTGTGTAAAATTTTAAAACAGAAGAGGAAGAAAAAGAACGAGATAAAATTAATAATTGAGAATTATATGGAGGTGACAAATATTTGTCAAATAAATTTGCGAAGGTAGATGCAGTAAAGTTCCTTGGGATTACAAATAAACTCTGATTGCTATTTTTCAAAAAAACAAGTTAAGACGAGTTCGTACAGTACACCATTAGATAGAATGCTATGTATTCGGTCAATACGATCATTCTTTAACGAGGTTAGAATTTTTGCACAAAGGGATATAGGTAACATGAAGCAACAATTGTCGTAATGGTCTTTAAATTTGATAGCAGATTCCTGATGAATTCAGCAATGAACACAAGGATTGTTATATTATTAGGTTCAATTGAAGGTACATGATGCATTAAATGTATTGTATCTTGATCAATTTTAATAATTCTTCTCAGAACGAAGTAATTGACTGAAATATGCCAACCAACTGCAAATCCGGGATATAGTGAGAGTAGGTAAAAGGAGTGATGGAGTAGCTATAACAATATTTATATTTAAAATTATTTGCGAACGATAGTACTCTATCTTGATCAGGATTAAGACGAAGTTCTAAAGCTTTAAACTAACTTGTAGTTTGAAAACTATGGGTAACTAGATACGTGATAGTGTATAGAAATGTGAATATATAATTTCCTTGATAGTTAGTGAGTTGTTCTATGAAAAGCAAGGAGAACTTTCGTAGCCCAGAAGCATGCTTTCTGTATTCAAAATTTAGAAGTTCAGAAATCAGGGAATTCCCTTCCAAGATTCTATTTGATAAAGCTGAGGGTACATTAAGTTTGAGCTTCATTAATTTAAAGTTACAGAGAAGATATAGAAGCCAATCATCAGCTCGTGTTGTTTTAAAAAAAGGCTAGTAGAAAAGAGGATTATCAAAGAGCCATTCCTTCTGTTGAAGTTGAAGAATACGTAGATAAAAGGATATTCTGAGTATATTTGTTTCATTAGACATTTGTAGTAAAGCATAGCTAAAGTTCTGGATTAATCTTTAATATAAGGAGGTCAGATTATAAAAATAATGTGAATGGAACAAATCCGTCAGAGTATATCTGGAAAGTTTTAGTTTCCTTTTGACAAAGGCTAAGTAGGTAGTGATAATGCTTTTGCATTGTGATTCAGACG